GTGCCTTTCCTGCCAGGCGCAACTTTCCCCAGTGCTCTTGGGACCAGGCCTGCCTCCCTCCTGGGCTCTCTCAGCACTGTTGAGTAAATTTCCTGTGGAGGTTTACTTCCTCTCAGATCATGTGGGAACCCCCAAAAGGCAAGCACCCCATTTTTGATTTGTTCTGAATATAGTCATGCTGTAGCTTGGACATTAAATGTTTCCCAAATGGCCATGTGGCAAAGGCATGATCCCTAGTGGCACCACTGGGAGGTGGTGGGGCCTTTGGAGGAGGCTTGTGGGAGGTCCTCAGGTCACTGGAGACAGGGCCACCAAAGGATGCAGGACCCCAGCCCCTTCCTCCTTCTCTTGTTTTACGGCCATGAGGTCAGCAGTTTGCTCCCCACCATTGCACCCAACTGGCTTGCCACTGGGGCCCAAAGCAAGGGGTCTCTGCCTGATCCTGGACCAGACCCTCCAAAACTACAAACTAAAGTAAACCTTTCACAAGTGAAGTATCTTGGCCATTTTGTTATAGAGGCAGAACCTGACTGGCATACACCAGTGTCACAACCACTATCAGGCAGGAACACAACAAGCTTTGAAGTCTTCACTTCATATGTACTTGAACATCAAAGCCGTGGGTCGACACATCACACTGTCTTCAAGCTTCCTTTCCCACCTCTTGGACTTTCTTCCCTTCACCTGTATCGGGCTTGCTCAACCCAGAGGAAACTGTGGAGCCCCTCTCAGAAACGTTGCCCGTACCTCTCCTGTGCTCGTGGGTCCCTCACATACTCACAAACAAGCACATCATGAGAGGCTGTTCTTTGTTTTATAGAACTGGACTCATACTATACACACTGTTCTGCAAGTTGGCTTTTGAATTGAACGCTATCTTGTGAAAATGTATTCAGTGTGACAAGTAAAGGTTGAAATTGTACTTTTTGGTGTATATAACTCTGGAGAGCAGACAGACCTAAGGCCTTACACATATGAGGTAAGAACTCTACCATTCAGCTATACCAAAGCCCAAATCACATTTTTTCAGATGACTTGATTTTATTCATGTTATAGATCAGAATTTCTCAACATCAGCACTATTGACATTGTGGATATGCTAATTCTTCTTTGGGGACAGCCCTATGCATTGTGGGATATTTAGTAGTCTCCCTAGTCTCTCTCCACAAGTTACCAGTAGTGCCTACCACCTTTACTTCCATGATCACAACCAAGAATGTCTCCAGACATTGCCACGTGTGCCCTGGACAAAATTGCCCACCTTTAGAACCAGTAGTGTAGGTGTATTATAATTTATAACAGCATCCTCCATTTTTTAACTAAGGGGCAATCAATGTTCTACCATCATAAAACACAGCAACAAATATATCTGTCCACATTTTCTGATGGAATTCCTTTATCAAACATTTTAAATGTCTTTTTGTCTAAACACTAGATCTACAAATAACTTTCTAAAACAATAGAAATTGTTCACCATGCTCAAGATAGAAGCTGGTTCTCAGAAGCCAGTTCTGCTTCTCAAAACAATTAGTCTTCTATTTGGAGGAGTGTCTTAATCTGAGATAACACAGAATTCTCACTGTAAGGTGGACTACTAAAATCAGTCAAGAATAAAATTGCTTCAATCTACTCTGTGAGTTATATTGTAAAATTAAAGCATAAATCTACATAGTGTCTTAAGTGTAATAATACAATGTCATGTAAAAATAAAATAATGATCTACTTACAAAGCAAAAAGCAGGAATTCAAAGCATGATATTCAGCAAATGTAAATGTATATGCGTATGAACACTCATGCTTGGCTTTGGAAATACTAATTAAATAAGAATAACTTATACAAATGTAACCCTATCAAATAATTTAGAATAGATAAATTTTAATAACTTTTTGTGTATTTAATGAAGGAGAATTAAATATTCTGGAAAATGTTAACAATTCAGTTGTTAGCACATCCCATGCAGCAAACTCCAAAAACCGCAGATCACAAAAAGGAACAAGGGTTAGACCTCAACACAAGGCTAGAGACATAAGCAGAGCTGGATCTCAAACCATCAGCCATGCTAAGAATTTGCATCTCTACCATAAAAGCAGTGCTCAGATATTGAATAGTTTTACGTACAGGGATATAACATTTGTGTTCTTTAACGATTATCCCTGGCAGATTGTGGAGAATCAATCAGAGGATGGCGTGAGTAGAGGCAGAGTATAGTTCTAGGGTTGTTTTAAAGAACCAGTGACAAAGCCAGTGACAAAGCCAGTGACAAAGCCAGGCACAGTGACACTTTCCTGTAACCCCAGCTACTCAGGAGGAAGGAGCAGGGGATTAAAGATTGAGGCCAGCCTGGGCAATATGACAAGACTTTGTCTCAAAATAAAAAATAAAAAGGGAGAAGAGTATACACTTGCCTAGTGTGCAGAAAGCTCTGGGTTCAGTTCCAAGTACCACAGAAAAATAAAGAAAGAATAGAACTTTCAAAGCACAGAAAAAGTAATGAAAGCTCAGGCTAAGGTGGCAAGATGGACTGCCACAAACAAGCATTTCAGTACTTGAGGGTCCTCTTCAGAATATAATGCTGATCATAATCAGTGTCAAAGAGAATAGGGGCTGTAGGATGAGACATAGGACCTTTTTCAATGCTTTGTGTGGATTATCTCTTCTAACACAAAGAACAACCTTCTACTACCATGCCCATTTTACAAGTTAGGAAACTGAGGGTGGGGGAAGCAACACAGTCAATGCTGCACATGCAGTAGCTGTAGGAGTGCACCTCCCTAGAACCTGGTTTCAGAATCTAGAGTCTTCCTTGACCCACTGGGCTCAGCTGCTCCACAGGTCCTATGGGTCATCAGGTCCTGACCATACAAAAAGGAAAACTCTGAGAGCCTTCCCCAAGAGCAAACTGGGGGATCCAAGGTGTCTGTCTTCCCCATGGCGAGGACAGGCCACTCAACCAAATGTGACCACGCTTGCTGCAGGCACCCAAGGATTAACGCACGTGATTCTTCATGAGCAGAGGGGGAGAACAGCAAGAATGTGAGCCTCCGTGCTCACTGTGAGAGGGAAAAGAGATTCAGAAGGAAAAGCTGACCCAGTCAGATGTTTTGCAGACATCCAGCCAGTGTCAGCACTGAAGGAAGGAAGGACAGAGGGAAGGAAGGAGGGAAGAAAGGAAGGAAGAAGGAAGGAAGGAGGGAGAAGTGGCTCCTTATAAGAATAAACACAGAAGTGTTTTCAGATGCCTTACTAGTATTCAAAAATGTTGACATCTACTTGAAAAATAAAAAATAACATTTTAAATGTCCAAGTGTATTATTTTCAAACATCAGAACAGCTGAGTGGGGGCCTTCCAAGAGAGCGTTCATCTCCTGTTCTCCTGCTAAGTCCATACCCAAGGCAGAGCAGATGCCCTGAGAAGAATAATTCGAAGACACTCGCTTTTCAGTATCATGGGCAGAGAAATCTTAGCCGTGCAGAGTAACTGTAAGCACAGCTCTGACTTGCTCACTTTGAACTGCTGGTCCCCATGCCCTTCTCAGGGAAAAGTAATATGTACGTCTTTGCTTGACTTCAGTGAATTCTTGAACGTGACCCGCTTTCTCATTTTAATGAGTAACTTTCCAGAGTACAAGATTGTTTTCAGGCTTGCACACTCAGCAAAACCTAGCACATGCCCGTAGCACCTTGCAGTGAGCACTGGTTCCTTGCACCTCTAAATCAATAAATGCCAAATAATAAAGAAGAAATACCAAGTCTCTCTGCAATTTTTTTCTTGTAATTTGTCTGCATTGTTTATCTACCCTATTTCAAGAATCTCCAAAATTGTATTGGCTGCTCATAAACCCTGATAGGAGGCACATTTCAGTAGGTCTGATTTCCATCAGGCCTTCACATTCAATTATTCCTCTTTACCACAAGCACCAATGCTCAACCTCCTTCCTCAGACCTAGTCTACACTGAAACATGAAGTCACAAAGCTCTCCAGTAACAGTGAAGATGAACATATCTATCCATAAGATAGAAATAAGCAATCAACCATCACAACAGTCATTAGAAGCAGCACATTTCACAGATCAGGCAACTGAGGATAAAAGAATCACGTCTTTCTCAATAGATACTCAGAGGAAGGTGCATCCCCATTCGTACAGGAGAACCTCCCTTTTCCTTTGCAGAGAAGATGAAACCAACCAATGGAAAATCCTTCCCTGTTTCACCCGTAATCAGCACTCCTGTGCTCCCTCTCTTCCTGATACAAAGAAAAATCCCTGATATTATCAGAATCTTTCTATTGCCTTCACCTTTCTGAGAAATATACAGGGCAATTCTGTCTCTCTATCTGCGTTTGCTGCAATCATTCCCATCTACCTATATACCTGTCCTCTCACCTCCCTACTTTGAAGAACACTTTCTTTGATCCCTTGTTGCTCTCCAGCTCTGCATCCCCTATTTCTATTCTTTCCCATCCAAACTCTCCAAAGAACTGTCTGTGTTAGTGTCTCAACTTTCCACTTTCCTTTACTCTTCAGCCCACCCCGGTCTGGCTTCTGCTCTTGCCCTCCTCAGTGTGGGATATGCTCTGGAGGTCTCTGTCTTTTCCATGTAGCCAATGTAGTGGGTGAGCCCCAGCATCATTCCACTTGACCTCCAGACTGGAATTAAACTGAACCAGCCACAGGGTCGTAGAGGATCCCATGTCTCCATCAAAGACTTCCTGGCATGTCTAGTTACTATGAACATTAAATCCTTCCACACCAGTGATATTTCAGTGTTAAAGGCACTGCTGCAGGCAGCCCCCACATCATGAGGACTGAGATGAAGGTGTCCATAGGACTCACAGTTTCTAAGGGGCATAAGCTTCTGGTATGTATATGTAATTCGGCTGTAAGAGTTATAATCTCACCACAGAGGGATCTTTTATAATAGGAAAAGTGTGCAAGAAAAAATACAAATATTGAGAAAGCAAAAATAAGGTAACCCTGCTTGTGAGGCCAAACTGACTTACCAGAACTCTGACTGCTGCCCTTCAAGGAGCTCCATGTACAGCCCTGGAATCTCTCCACAGAGAAAATGACTGCTCCTTGAATAGCAGAAAGCCTTGAACAGTGAGTGGAAAAGAGATCATTACGATGTTCATCACCCTGTAAAGACAGGCTGGCTTTTAACCCAATTATGCCCTCACAAACACCTCCCACAAAGTCAGACTCCACCGGGAAAGGAGACTGAGTGATGTGCTCACAATCCCAGGGTTGGGCCATGCTCAGACAAGGCAGAGGACTGTCTAGACTGAAATTAGCAGCCACCACCAAAATAAGGGAGAAACACAGCCGCTCACAGCAAAAGGCTGAAATGTCTTCTGCAGTCATTCTAGCAAGGGCAATGTTATTGAAGCAGCCTTTAAAGCCATAGCTCCTCAGAATCAGTTGGCAATGCAAGTCATCAGTTAAAGTCTTTATTCCAGTTAATTGCTCCATGAACTCCAAAAACACAAAAGGACCATGAAGACAAAACTCATGGAATAAAACAAAGTTCTTGATTTCAGGAAGAGCTTGGAAGAAATTGTAGGGCCAGGACTAAGGGTGGTAGATTAGGGTTTTATTATAAGACAGAGGCAGCAGCCTTTGCATTCGCTGGAGAAAAATAGCTATGGACAATGGAATGTCCTTAGGAGAGATCCTGCACATGTTTTTCCTTCCAGACTCACGACTGAATGAGAAGTTCAACACAATCTCCCTGTTGGGATGGTCTGGGAATCAGTGACTTTTCACCCCATCACTAACCATACCTCTCTGACTTATCTTATGTATCAGCAAGGTCTGTTTGTTACATAACTGGCTCTGACCCTCTGGCCATCCTTTTGTGTCCCTATTTGTCTTGCGAGGTTGATGATATAGTGCATTATCAACTATACCCAATCTTCCTCCCATAAAGATTTTCGAAGTATTATTTCATGACTTGTGCAGGTGGGCACCTGTCTTAGTTACTTCTCTTTCATTGCTGAGACAAAATACCCAAAGCCCAAAATGAAGGAAGGAAAGGTTTATTTAGCTTACAGTTTGTGGAGGTTTCAGTCCATACTTGGCTGGCTCTGAGGCAGAAGATAGCAAAGCAACAAGAGCAAAGGGGGGAACGGCAGCCAAACAGCAAACAGCCAGAGCAAACCGGAGGTTTGCAGCTTCTTTTTCTGCCTTACTTTGTAAA